AGCAGGGCTTTATTTTTGGCAATGTTTGCTCATGGGTAACATTTTAACTATTCACATTTTAGTTGACTTGTCAATATTTTTGCAACTACCCATGCTTAGTTTTAGACATATAGAAAAGAATCACAAATCAATGTAAATATCACAGTGTTAATGCCCTAGGGCAAATTTTTACAAGAAGATTGTTTCATTCAAAAGCAATTATCACAAAACAACAATTTGGGGAATTTTTCTCAGAATTACCAGGGCTATTCTAATACCTTTGCCCTCTTCTTTTGTATGGGTAATTAAGGAGGGTAATTAAGACAATTATCTCTATAACTCAGGCTACACAAAACTCAGAACATGGAAGAAAAAAAAATACTTCCAGCTTTTTCTCTTTTCCTTTCTTTTGTTTTTCTCCTCTTTCTTCTCCGCTCTCATCACCCCCCCACCATCTCTCTCTGTGTCTCTGTCTCTGTCTTTCCCTCCCTCCCTCCCTCCTACCCTACTTGTCTCTCTCTCTCTCTCTCTCTCTCTCTCTCTCTCTCTCTCTTCTTTTCCCTCTCTCACTCCCCCTTCTATGTATTACCCTTCACTCTCTCCTATATCTTGAGTGGCCACAGCCTTTGGCAACAGGATTGATTTTATTAGTGTTTGTCCATAAGTGTTGTAATCATGCCTGGCAGTTCTTGCTTAATGTAGAAACCAAGCAAATGTTCTGCTTCTGCCAGGCTTCATTTCCAGTCATCTGACATAGATCTGCTCTCAAACCATTGCTGTGGTTCTCGGAGAGCTTTTCGTTGTGCACTCACAGCCATCTCTCATCCTAAGCCTTGGAAGCTTGGGCAGAATGAGAACTGAACAAATATCAGAACTTTCTGAATTTCTTAGATTCAAAGATAAGTCACTGAGCCCCTTGTCTACTCCTCAAACAGATCCTGCCTCTGGCACATCCACATGAACCTCCAGGGCAATATCCATGGTGAAGTAAGATATGAGAGGAACCCACACCGGGAAACAGTCTTCTTAGGAGAAAGTCTCTTCTGCTTTATCAACCAGTATAGAGTCATTTCCTCCCCAGAATGATCTGGACACATATTAGAAGATTCCCATGTGCACTGGAAAATATTAATTAATTCTGTTTTGCAAGTAGGCCAATTAATTTCAGATTTGCCAGAAAGCACTATATTATCTCATGCTATTTCCATGCACACACAAGCCTTGCTATGAAATACCTCTAATGCATTGGTGTTGAAGACCACTGTAAACCAAGACTGGGAAAGACTTTGGCCTGAAGTTCTCAACACAATTCTCTGGTCATCTTTGTGCCTTGATTTATCATTTCTGATGACCCACAGACTTTGGGTTTGTTTTTCATAACCTTTGATGTATTACTTGATGATGCTCCTGATCAATATATATTATTGGCAAATTTTATAACAAATTATTGCATAGAACATCCCATCTTACACAACAATTTGGCTGCTAAAATTGTATCTAAGAGATATATTAGAAATCAGGTCATATTGAATCAGAGGTGCTGGCCATGAAAAGGAGTAAAGCCAAAGAATGATCTTGTAAATACTTGATAATTTATCCTTTTGGTAAATTCTAACTTTCATGTGATCACTATTGAAATACTTGTAAAAGCAAGGGATAAATGGCACAGATACATATACACACTCACTAACATCCTCAGTCATGTGCGCATGTGCGCGCGCACACACACACACACACACACACACACACATTAATTTTCCTCAATTATCTGAATTTTTTCTCTGTTGAATATAGTTTTGGGGTCTAATATATTGAAAAATACTTCAATTTTCCATTTCCATTACATTTTGAATATGCACAGACAAGAGATCCCAAGTTCCTTCTTTGCCTTGGAATGTTCTTTCTTCTATTTTTTTCTGTCTCAATCCTTATGCATCATAGAGAAAGCCCTGGAATTCATACTTGTGAAAAAACAAAATGTGATAGAAATTGTGATGCTCATTAAACTCCTCAGCATTAGCATTTTCAACACATCTATGAGGATTTACTGCATTTCTCTCCTTAACATGACAGCACAGGATTTCTACATTGCTCTACATTTTGAATTCTCTTATGTTATTCTGGCTTTCCTATTCAAAACACAAAATGCCCACTTTTTAAATTTAACTCCTTTTGTTCAAAATCTGTATGACCACACTAATATATAAGCAGTTATAAAATATATTTCAAACCTCCTTTAATTTCAGTACAATAACTGATTTTTAATAGTAAAAAATACAATTGAATATTTTTCATAGCCATAGCACTACAAATATTGACTCATTATTAAAATTTAATGTATCAGCATTTTCCTTAAGATAAAGTTCCTAAACTTTATGTTGTTCTCATACATGGTCGAGACAGTATTTACTGTCTTCCTAGCATGTGAAAATACCTATACTAAAGCACTGGGAATATAAAGAGATGAGTAAGCACCGCCTTCAAGGAGGCTCCACAGAAGAGCCATATGAACCACAGATTACAGTATATCCTAGGACAGAATTGCTGCCATTACTAAGTAAATGGAGCAATTGCACTGATTTTTAAAATAAATTAGAATGACTCTGCAGAGGAGGGAATTTTGTGTTGTATCATGAGAGTGGGAAAAATAACCTTGGTGAAATAGTGAGAAGAAAAGGATTGTAAGGCTGAAAGAGCTGCTTTGATTTTAACTATGAATTATTTCAGTTAAAGATCAATTTGTAAGAGCAAATGTACCAATTTAACCATGGTTTCTGACAATTAGCTTTTGAAATGAATTGGATTTTCTTCATGTCGACGTATTTTACAAAGCCTTTTGAAAATATTGGGCTTCTTTTTCTTTCTCATTCCCCTCCTGACCCTCCTCCCCACCTCTCTCTCTCTTAAACTTGCTTCTTTACAAGAATACACTTTCCTAGGTCAGCCAGGTTTTCCTACCAAACTGGAGGATTGCTAAATCTGAGTAAGTTATTGTGGGTTTCTTTTAACTTTCACCTTAGATTTCAATTGAAATACATGACTTCAACTTCAGTTCTAATAAGTGGAAACTCAATCTTATTATAAAAAATCATCTTTGAAAGCAGCACTTCAGCTTTCAATTCTCTGTTTGCTCCGAGCCTCTTATTTTTCATTCCTTTTTAAAGTTTCTATTTAAACACACCTCATTGTCATATGCTGATAAATATTAAAATAACAGGAAAAATCTGTCTGACTTATTTAAGCTGATAATAAAAACAAAACACAGGATGTGTGTGTCCTCCTTCCTTTTCTGACTATGGTTAAGCGTTAGGAGATTTTGAAACCTATAATTATGTAATAATTGGTATCCTTACCTTCTCTTTCCAATGAAAAGCCACATTTTTTTTTTTTTGTAGTTTGCCACAAAGACAGACAAAAAACAAATTGCCTAAGTGGTATTGTCATTTCTTTGCTCCATTGTTTTAAAAGAGTTTAGCAAAAGAGTCTCCAGTTGCCAGGGGGTAGTTCCTGTGCCAATAATCACAAAATGATCTTTCCAACAGCATCATTGGGTAATGAGCTAATTTAGAGAACCATAAATATCACATATTGTCCTAATGTTTGTCAGTATTTATTACAAGAAAACATACTTTAAATATTCAAATAGATGTCAAAAGCATCTTAGTAAATCCGGCTAAAAGAGATGTGAGCAATAGTGCCCCACTGGTAGGCCAATATGACGAAAGGATAGGAGTTTCAAAACTACCTCCTTTGATCTCCAAGTATGTAATACCAGTTATATGTGAAAACACTATTTAGTTTCTTTTTATAAAACTTCTAAAGGAAATAGTACATCAGCACACCAGGTTTTTGAAGTCCATGGATAGAGTACTATTTTCTTCTCTCTGTTTCATATCATGAGACTCTAAAGGTAAACTCACCTCTACTTAATATCTTCCTTTCACTTTTATTCTTTTTCCTCAAACTTTTTCTCATAAAAATATTTTTAAAAGCATGTACCATAAATACTTCAGAAGCCAATGAGCCAATGGAACCTACTGCCTTTGTTCCTTTCTCTTAGAAGTTGGGCTTTTGCATTATTTCCGTTATACTTAAGGCTGCGATACCAGCAAGAAAACACAGCATCCGAGGAAGGAAGGTCATAAGTATAAAACAAAGGGAATGGCACTGCTACAAACAGGAGTGCACGAGGCAACATCAGGTGGTGGGCCATCTTGTATGTGTTCATCTTACTTGTTTCTCCTGTGGTTTTACTCAAGTCTACTATACAATAGTAGGGACAGGTACAAGGGGCAATTTTTGGACTTGAAAAAAAATCTTGTCAAACTGGTTGCTCTTATGTCAAGAGGAATTTATGTTGAGCACATCTTGATGTTTCTTCAAGGTGGCCCTTTCTCTCCATAGCTCTCAATTCCACGTGAAAAGTGAATACACAGTACTAAAAGATGAGAGGTTAGGTTTCTTGAAATAAAATAAAAAATTCTTTAAGGAACCAAATTGGATGGCCTCCAAAAGAAATGATTAGTGATCTGGGAAGAGCTTTGGTTTCACACCTGAAAGGATGTAGATTCAAGTGGGATCTATAATTGACGCTAAGAGGAAAACCCCTAACATACCCAGTGGGGCCCTCAGACCAATGTGGGCACACCTCAGGGCCACTGAGGTTAGCTCCCCCAGAGTTCACTGGGGCCAGCACACTGAGGTCAAGTCACACTATCAATACAGCTCTGCCTCCTGCTCCTGTTCTTGGAGACAGCATCACCACATATTCATCACATGGTGAAGCCTGGGTATGTGTATGGTGGGAAAATTACTTACAACGCTTTTCATTTGGTTTACATACAATGAAGTTAAACACCAGTATGCCTTTGAAAAAAGTCACCAAGAGACCTTCTTTTAAAGGCCACAGTATGTGAACAAACCACTTGTTTAGAACAATAGTTCTAAACTGAGTAAGATTCTGAATAAGAGGCACATTTGATATCTTGAAACATGGAGATAGGCTTTAGAATATGGCTTACCTTGCAGGTTGACTCTGGAGACAGGAGGCTGACTAGCAGCTGGGGACCTCCTGTGGACACAAAGGAAAAGAAGGCCTGAGTCTTTGTCTGAATATCCCCTCTATGCCTCAGGCCTGTGCACCTCAGCCCCCCCACCACCCCCTTTTCCGGTCATAATCCGCTATCAAGTGACATAATGCTATCTCCGGAAGGCAGGCTCCTGTAACAAGGGTAGATGACTGCAATTCTCTCACATCCAGATGGCCTGGAATTTCCCTATGCACAGTCTCCTGGATGCTCCAACTCTCCAGGAAGGAAGTCGTTTGCTCCAGGTCCCCAGCCAGACCCTCTGTTTTAGGTTACCAGGAGGCACTCAGAAGATATACACTTGCTCAAAAATAACACCACTTTGCCAAGAGCAAATTCTACTTTCTTTGGGCAAAGCTATAGAAAGTCACAACCATAAGAACACGTAGAGAGCAATCAGACTAGGCTTTCCCTTGCACCTCAGAAAACTGAGACCCAGAGAAGTGAAGTCACTTGCCAAAGGTCATACAGCCACTAGGAATAGAATCTATCTTGCTTAACTTATGAAATGCTCTTTTCATGGAGGAACTGGGCATTCTGCATCATAATAAACCTGCTGATGTGAAGAATCAAATGAAACAAGGGAACAAAAACATGCTCCAGGGCCTCTCTGGTGGCTCAGGCAGTTGAGCGCAGTGCTGTGAAGCTGTCCACAGCCTCTGCAGTGTGGGTTCGATCTTGGCCAGTAGGTGAGATACCCACAGGGCATGGCAGACCTCTCCTGTCTCACCTGCTGCTCCCCTCAGCAGTGTATTTCAGTCAATCTGCCTGTTCTGTTCCCTGCTCTGTCTCTGGTGAATCCTCTCACCCTCCCATGCATCTAGCCTGTACCCAGACTCTTGTATAAATAAAATAAATCTTTAAAAAAAAAACTCTATAAAAATACAAAAAAAAAAAAAAAAAGCTCCACTAATACTGGGTCTCCTTTTCCTTTTAGAGCTCTTTCTTCTTCTTTTTCTCTCTCCCTTCCCCCAGACAATATTTTGTTTTTTTTTGTCCTCACAATCCTTCCCATGCTTTGCAGAACTTCTGCCAGACTCTTAGATTCCCAGTGTATTGCTAGAGACCCTCCCAGATGTATAAATCAGTGACCCTCAAATTTTAAGGTGCATTAGAATCATCTAGAGAGCTTATGAAGGCACTTTGCTGTACACTATGCCAGGGTTTCTGATTCAATCAGTTTGAAAGTTTGCATTTCTAACTAGTGCCCAGGTGGTGTTAATGATGCTGGTTAGGGACCACATTTTCAGAAACACTGATGTAGATGTTTCTTGGTCTCAGTAAAGAGTAAAAGGACATTAGCAACCAGCAAGAGAGTGGCTCTCAAATATGGGGAGCTTTAAAAATATGATTTCTTTTCCCCACCTCTAGAGAGTCTATTTCAGTATATGTGGGATGAGGCCTTGGGATTAGTAGGGCTTTTTTTTTTTTTCTTTTTACAGAAATCTGTGAGTTCTGATGCACAGACTAGTTGGGAAGGAAGCCAAAATTTAAATGATAGAAAAAAGTCTGCATGGGCCTCCCCGGTGGCTCAGCGGTTGAGTGCTGGGTTGCGAAGCTGCCCGCGGCCTCTGTGGCGCCGGTTCGATCCCCTGCTGCTCCCCGGCCACCGGAGGAGGGTCCCGCATGGCGCGCAGACCTCTCCTGCCGCCCGCTGCTCCCCTCAGCAGTGTACTTCGGTCCTTCTGCCTGCTCTGCTCCCCGCTCTGGCTCTGGTGAATTCTCTCACCCTCCCGCGCTTCTGACTGTACCCAGTGCATGTATAAACAAAACAAACAAACAAACAAATAAATAAATAAAACATGCCTCTATTAAAAAAAAAAAGTCTGCAAAGGTATTACTAAGGAAGGGTCTCCCTACTGGTGTGACAACAGTTATCTTCTGTAGGGTAAGGAAAAAGTATCAGGCTTTTCTGCCCTCCCGCCATTAGGATGGATGATGGAACCCCGTGGTCCTGAATGCATGCCTGATGGCGGGCACCTGGAATAGGGTGTGGGTATATGTAGATGGGACTCACCTGGGCTGAGACTGGGCTTTTAGGGGTGGCATTGCGGGGATGCCAGTAGAAGCCAAAAGAAGAGGAGCAGAGAAGCCGAGAAAGAAGCAGAAGAAGCAGGAACAGGAGAAGCATAGAGAAGCCGAGAGAACACCAGAAAACGCTGGAGAGCCCAGAAAGAGTAAATACTTATTGGGGGCTGGGAGGCCTGCCAGCCTCCCAGCCCCCCAGCACCCTTGCCTGCTGTATACCCACTAAATCCCAATAAAAGCCTGCAAAAGCCACTGAGGGCTCCAGGACTCTTTCCTCCTTTACCTGGTCTGCTGGATCATAGAAAACCTGCTCAGTGGCCTGTTTCTGCTCTTACATCTTCCTAGATTTTTACATCCAAATCCCCTTAGAGGGTTGATGATTTCGGGGTAACTTAGATTCTAGGCAACTAGAGCTTACAGCCATGGGGGCTGAGGGTCAGGGTTCACATCTACCTCTCATTTACTGGCTGGGTCATCTGAGGCATGGCACTTTTATACACTCGGTGGCATGAAATGTTCATGTGTGACAAGGGAAAGGAAATTACCATCCAATGATTACTTTTCTCTGCTTGGCATTGTGTTTGGTAATTTCATTGGGAATATTGCCTTATTTTTTTTTTAAATAATAAATTTTATTTTTCTATTCCCCATACAATTGCAACCCCCCCATTCTGACCCCAATTCCTCCCCTCTCGCCCCCCCACCCCCCAAAAATGTCTCTGGTTCATAGTTTTTTGTTGATTTTGATTTTCACCTTCTTATAGTTATTCATTTTCCTGGTCCCTTATTTAAGTTTTCTAGATTCCTAATATTGCCTTATTTTAAGGAAACTGAAGTGAGAAGTTAAGAAACAATGCTGGAGCATACGAGGTTTGTAATTGGTGTGGTCAGGATTCAAAATTAAATCTTTTCAAATCCAAAGTGCATGTTTTTCCCACTATTCCATCTGTTGATAACACCTGCACTAATACAGAGGGCTGTTTTTCAGGAAAATTAAGAGATTAAATTCTAAACTCCTTACCCTGGCTTTCAAGTCATCTGTTCTTTTACCTCAACATACTTTCCCCATCTTCTCTCTCAGAATTTCTCTCTGCCTGACAGTTCATCTCAAACACTGACTGACTGTTTGTTTATGTTCATGGATCTTGTACTTCTCCTCAGTTGTATTTTAATGCGGCAATTAAAATAGGCACTGTATAAATGGTGTTCAATGTAGAACGCCTTAGCTTAAATGAAAACTTTATATGGCCAGGAAACAACTTACTTACTACTGGGTTCCTAGAGCCCGCATGGTCTTTCACAGGCCAAGCAGCCAATAAATATTTATTGACTAGAAGAATGAATGAATTAGGGAGGGGAAGAATTAACTCACACTTTTCCAGGGCTAAATTTATTTACTTCATTTTCCTTGGATCTGTAATTCCTTTTCTGACATAACTCGGGTTATTCTGCTGAGAGGAATGCTCTTCCACACAAATCCACATATCTAAATATCACCTACCTTTTTATGATACTGTGATTTATAATGAGAAAAATGTATTTGCTTTTTGTCCCATTCCTGGCATAGAGCTCCTAAAACCCTTTGACTATTCTAAGTGATGAATCTTATTATTGTGAGTTTTAGAAAGTCCCTAGTTAACCTCAAGATGGAATATGGTTGTCAGGGGAACCAACACTATGATAAGAGGATTAAAATTTTGAATCCTTCTCCCCACCTTACCCCAGTGCTCTGGGAGCAGAGAGGGCTGGGTATTGAATTCACTCATCAGTGGCAAATGATTTAATCAGTCATGCCTTTGGAACAAACTCTTTATAAAAACCCAAAAGGACTAGTTTTGGAGAGCTTCCACATTGTGAACATTTGGGGAGACGGGCATGCTCAGGTAGCACAGAAGCTCTGTATTCCTTCCCACAAACTTTGCCTTATGTATATTTTCCATCTGGCTCTTTCATATTCTGCAATTTTATATATCTTACCACATTGTAAAACAGCAATCTAGTAAGTAAAATGTTTCTCCACTCTAGAAAACCAATCAAATTCAAGGAAGTCCTTGGAACCTCTGACCTACAGGAGGCAGTCAGAAGCATAGGTGACAGAGTGAACTTAAGATTGGAATCCGGGAGGGGGTTGTCTTACAAGACTGAACCCTTAACCTGTGGGATCAGACTCAATCTCCAAGTAGATTGTGTCAGAATTGAATAGAACTGAATTGTAGGACACAAAACTGGTATCATCAAGAATTGGTGTGGGAGAAAAAAAAATCCCATATGTTAGAATTGGTGTCAGAATTGTATATCCAAAGGTCAAATACCATCTTCTCCTGTTGGCTATTATTATCCTGTTGGCTAAAATTGATCCCTTCTCTTATCTCCCATGGGGTTGTATTTATACCTTTAGGGTTATTTCTTCATCTTACAACTCATAGAGTTGCATATTATCCCCACCACTAATTTTTATCCATTGATGGTAGAATCCAACCTTGACCTCTTCCATATATTCTCTGCAAGAACCACCAACTTGTCTCCAGAATAGTAGGAACTTTGTAAATGTTGGTGGACTGTTGATTGAATGAACCATTGGTGTGAAATGAGTTGAGCTGTCAAATACCACATGAATGTTCATCTGCTTTATATGTTCATATGCTAATACAGCATCACTCATGTTGCTGGGTCCTTGCATGTTTTGCTCAGCTGGATCCTTATCTCCCTTTACATGTGTGGGGTGTGTGTGTGTGTGTGTGTGTGTGTAATGTTAACTTACAACACTGCTAATGCTTTAAGGGTATAGAGTCACCCCTCTTCATATGTATGTTATCATACCACACCCATCACCAAAGTACCAACAATCCTCCACCAATGTCCATTTGACTCCCTCCTTCCTCTTATTCCCTTTCGCTTTAAGTGGCAACTCCTTCACATATTCTAGGACTCCACTGAAGCATTTTCTTCTCAGAGA